GGCTGCCACTGTTTTCCAAGGCACCAGAAGGCAAGACAAGAAGCAACGGATGGAAACCAAGGAGAAAAGCAACCTAGAACTAAGGAGAAACTTTTAAGAAAAAATTGGACAGCCATTTCTCTGAAATGGTATAGGGCCCTCATGGCGAACCTAGGGCATGCGTGCCACAGGTGGCACGGGGAGCCATATCTGTGGGCACGCGAGCATTGCCCTAGCTGATCATGTGCGCACTGGCTAGCTGATTTTCGGGCCTTCTGGGCCCACCGGAAGTCAGAAAACGGGCTGTTTCCGGCCTCCGGAGGGCCTCTGGAGGGGTGGGGAAGGCTGTTTTTGCCCTCCCCAGGCTCCTAGAAAGCCTCTGGAGTCTGGGGAGGGCAAAAAACAGGCCTACCATGCCCACCATGCCATAAGCAAGGGAAGCACGGGCGGGGGGGTTGTGCGCACATGCAGGGGGGGTGGGGTGCATTGAATTATGGGTGTGGACACGCATACGAGCAACCGAACTGTCAAGTATTTGCAAGCCATTGGCACATATATCATACAGACACTAGTGGAGGCAGAAAGTGCCCCCACCCCTATGTGGAGAGGAGGGGCTTACACTGAGTATAAAACCCCCTCTAACCTTTCCACCTTGCTCTCTTTTACGTTTGTTCTCCATGAGACATGATCTTTGATAGGGGTAGTCACACACGCTGTGTGCCCCCTATCCTAATGGATATTAAGACAGCCTTTGTACATAGTTAATATGTTTTGTTATATGAATAAATACATTTATCACATTTATTCATGCATCTGCCTTTGGACTCTTCTATGCTCCTGGGTGTTTCTACGATCCCAATTTCCACACACCCCTTCACTCCCCCGCTTTTGGCACGCAACGGCAAAAAGGTTAGCCATCACTGGTATAGGGCCATGATGGCGAACCTATGGCACGTGTGTCAGAGGTGGCACGTAGAGCCCTCTCTGTGGGCACGCATGAAAAATAGCCCAAAAAACTGTGAAAATGGCCCGAAAAACAGCCGAAAACGGCCCGGAAAACGGCCTGAAAATGGCCAAAAATGCCCAAAAAATAGACATGCGTGGGCCAGCCAGCTGGTCTTTGGATTTTTAGTGTGCACACATGCACATGTGTTCCAGTTTGGGCACTCGGTCCTGAAAAGGTTCGCCATCACTGGTATAGGGTCTTCTGCTTGAGCAGGGGACTGGACTAGAACAGGGGTCTTCAACCCCCAAGCCACGAACTGATACTGGTCCATGGCCTGTTAGGAACCAGACCGCACAAGTCATGGGCGAACTAGCAAAGTTTCATCTGCACACACGAGGGACCTACGTTGCATGTGAAACCATCACCCCCTCCCCATAGAAAAATTGTGTTCCACGAAACCGATCCCTGGTGCCAGAAAGGTTGGGGACCAAGGTTCCTAACTTCCAAGGTTCCTTCCCTGCTATTCTGTTAAACTACAGTCTGAGGTGAGGTGAGAACAGGGAAGGCTGAATACTCCTCCTGCGTTAGGCAGGCCAGTCACTCACCCCTCAGCCCACAGGGCAAGGCAATGGCAAACCGCTCCTGAAGAAACTTTTCCACGTAGTTGCCAAGAATCAAGACTGATTTAAAGGAATACAGACCAAGTTTGGAGATGGTCTTTTCCATTGAAAAATAACTAACTAAATCATCTTTTCCCTTAAGGCTGTTTCTGCCAGCCAGTACTTTTCCTTGACTTCCCTGCCCTGCCAAGATACTCCAAAAAAAAAAAACAACCAACCGCTTAGGAAAGTGAACATTATCCTTCTCTCAAAAGGAAATGCTTCAAATGACCAAATGATCCCTTTGTTTACTTACTGGGGCTCAGGCATCATTCTGATCAAAAACACTTCAGAGCAGATTGCATCCCTCAGTCAAATAATAAAGATAAAAGACACTTTAATTAATAATACCGAACCACACAGCAATTAGTCACCCTCCTTGCGGGCACCGCTTCTGCCCAAATCGCTCCCAAATCGCTCGGCGTTCACCATCCCTCTTAACCAATTTCTGGAAAAGCAACCAACATGGGCGCTGAGCTCCCCTCCAAAGCAGAGAGAGGAGGGGAGCTTTGGGGGCTCCAGCCCCTAGGAGGTCTTGAGCACACAGGAAGGGATGGGGGGGGTTAGATGCTAAGTTCTTGCCTGATCCTGATTTAAAAGCAGTTCATCAACTCCCACACAGATGGATGGACCCTTTTATTACTTGGCAGAGTCACAGTAAGACTTTCTGTTGACATCCAGCATCCAAGCTCAATTAGAGACAGGGAGCAGAGAGAGAAAGGCGGCTGCTTGCATTTCTCACAAGGTAAAAATAAACACCAGGCTGTTTCTTTCTAGGGCAGGGAGCCCCCCCCCACCCTCCAGAAGCAATTCACTATTTCAGACCAGCTGAATTGCAATCTGGTTGAAAGGTTACGCCACCCCTTCCCTCCTTTCTCAGAAGGAGAAGGCTGGGCTGGCATCAGGAAAGGTGTCTAACCAACCAGCCTCTAACACACTTTGGAGAAAATGTTGGCACGCCAATTGGAAGGAAGTCAGCATGGAGAGGAAAATATCGCTCCAGGAAAACTTTCCAAACATAACCCACTAGGAAAGAACGTAAGAAAAGATGAATTGTGGCTAGCTTGATTTAAAAAAAAAAAATAGAATGGATGCAGAAATGATGATATAAGAAAGTAAGATGCCAAGCATCTCCGGAGCTGGATTTAAAAGCAGGTTGATCGACTCCACCAGCGCTTTCTTGCCAGTTGCTGTGAGTATGAGTGCCAGATCAAAGGGAACTGAGGCCATCACTGTTGACACTGTTCTATTCTAACCAAGTTACACTGAGAAGATGTTTTAAAGGGCTATAACCACCATCCCAATCTTACTGGCTCTGGGTGAGGGAAGCTGCAGTCCAACGTATCTGGAAGGCTTCTAACTGACATCACCTGGAGCAATGAGATTTTTCTAAGAGTCGGAGAAATGGAAATCTGAAGACCTTCTACTCCATGGGCAAAAGATGGACAAGGAAATATCCCCACCTGCCATATTCAAGTTAATAGTGAGTGGAACAGAGTTTAAAGCCAGAGCTGGTTGGCCTGCTCTTCATAGGGCACCAACGTTTTCTCCTTCAAAGACCAGCAACCCATGAGGATGGGGCACACCTGCACAACCATCTCTCCCATGTCACTCTATGTCACTCTACACTTGTGCGCAATCACTTTATCCAGGACCATGTTTTCACAGCATCCTGGAATCTCAGGCTGCCCTTCCCCAGACTGATGTTGTAGAGCCCCTCCTAAACTGGAGATGCAAAGACTGAACCTACATTTCTTCTGAACACAGAAGGAGGCAATGGCTCCCCTCTGTGAAATTTCCTGCCCCATCCCCCTTTCCTGGCTCATCCCCTCCGTACAGGACTTTCAAAGAACTCTAAAGTCACAGCTGGTCAAGAAAGCATTTGAGGACAAGGGAGGGTCTTTGAGGCTCTTTCAGCTTGGTTGTTTTTCTTGCAGATGTTTCATTACTCAAAACTAGGTAACATCGTGCACTGATGATATTACCTAACTCGGCTAATGAAAGGCCTGCAAGAAAACAGCCAAACTCAGGGAGCACCAAGGAGCCTTCATTTCAATCCCGAGCTACAAATATTCTCCTTAGGGTCTGTTATTAAATTGTTAGGATGCGGTTGCTTGAGGTAAAAGCCTCTGAGAACTGAGAGTCATTGAAAATTTCACTGCATCATAAACCAATTAATTAATCAAATAAACAAATAACTGCTTCCCCAAAATCATAATTCATAAATCATACGACGTAGCCGTAAAATGTAAGCACTGGAAGGGACTACAGAGACCATCACGAAAAGTTCTCTGTAACAATCCTATTTGTGTGCAGTACAATTTGGCTTTAAAACAAGGGACACAGTAAAGCTGTCTGTGAGTTCAGCGAGAAGAGAGAGGCTAATAAATTATTGTTATTATTATTATGGTTTTCCACACAATCAGCCAGGTGTTTAGACTGGACCTGGCATTTTTATCCACCTATCGAGTCCTTTAAACCTTGCATGCTGCCTGACTCTCAATGATTCTGGGTGGCTAATATAAATAGAAACCCGGTAAGATTAATATTTTGATATTGGACTAGTTAAATCAGTGGATGACTAGGCAGGGTTTTGCACTTCGCAGAAACCTACCATGAAATGAAATGTGGCTTATTTCACGGACATGGACAAGGCACTGTTACGAAAGACTGGAAAAGATTTGCATTGTTGACCTACACAACCACAGAGTGGGGCCCTATCATTTAAGACACACTCTTGGCAAAGGGTAGCCAAAAAGCGTAAAAGTTTTCCAGCCGTTTGTATGCAGCAGAGTATGTGTAGCAACCTCTTTTTCGTTCTATAAGCAGAGGAAAAATTAAAAACCTACATATTCAATACATTCAAGTTCAACCTGTTTCTTTTTTCCACACTTTCTCAAAGAAAGAAAAAGTTTTGGGGGGGAGGTGTGAAGGGAACGGAGTGTAAGTGCCAACACACTCTGAAAATCCCAAATCGGTGCAAAATACTATTAACATTCTTTTTCCAAACTGCAGGAAAAACCAAGGTGGAGAAAGAAAGGGGAGCCCTAACTTTTCCACTTCTCTCCCAGAGACCCCAAATTCCAAAAGGGTCGACCTCAGGCATCTCTATCACTTGAGGGTCCAAGCTGACCCAGCACCTTCTGCCATCTCCTGCTTGACCTTGGAACCCTTTGAGCCAGGTTTCTCACTCCCCCTTCCTGGATCAAATTGCAGCAGAAATAAAAGTCTAAAAAACCCCATTTCTTGCCACTGTTTAACCTCCTCTCTCTCACCAGCGCCGGGTTCCCATCCACAAAAACTGCTTCGGGCTCCGGAAGATGCTCAGAAGCAGCGAAATTCAGTTGTCCAGGCAGGAACCCAAACCCCATTTCCCAGGGACCCTTCACTCAAGAAAGGATGGCTTTGTTACTTACCCAAGGCAGCTCATTTTTCTCTCTCGTTGCTCAGTCCCCACATCCTTGGAGGGAAGAGTCAAATTGGGCACTTTCCCAAGGTCTGCAAAGCGTATGGCACAGATTGGGGGAGGACTGGGGGGGCTGGGGGGAGGGATGGAAGCAGCCAGCCAAAGGGCCAAAGACACGTGCTCACTCCCCCCACTTCTCACCACCAAAAAGGACGAAGAAAATGTCAGCAAATTAAAAACCAGAAATTCTTAATTCTGGGTAAGTGGGTCGAAATCCACCGGAGCTCCCCCAAGGCAAAAGGAGGGGAGGAACGGGAAACAAGGAAAGAAGGATAACGATTAGAGAGTCAACTAATTTAGCTCTGGGAACAGAGGGGGGGAGGGAGAGGAAGGATGTGTTTATCCAGCAAAGGGGAATTTCATAAGTGCCACATCCAGGGTAGTCCCAAGCACAGCAGCCAAGAAAAGTGTTGCAAGAAAAAATTCTCCTCCTCTGGTGCCAGAAGAGAAGTGGCCACCGTGCAACAGCCTGTCCAGAAGGACAGCAGAAGGGTCCTACCCCCACCCCCACCCCCAAAAAAGCAGCAGCAAGGAGTAACCATCCAGTCAGGCATCTGCAGAAGCTCCTCGGCTTTCCGAAGGATTTCGGTGCTGCATTGCTGGGTACCAAAAATGCACCAGCCGCCAAGGCTGTGCGCTAAGGGAGGCAGAACCTGATTAACGCTCAGCCTCCTATGCATGTACACTCTGAGACTGATACAGACACTCCCCCTCCCCTTTCCTCCCTCCCTCCCTCCCTCCCACCACAGAAGCAGCAAGGAAGTGTCCCAGTTCTTCGGCAGAGAAAGCGGGCATGACAGCAAGGTTGCAAAGCAGCTTCAGAGTCGATCAAAGGGGGAAGACAGATGCAAATATTCAGATAGACAGCCTGGCAGACAGACAGATGCAACAGCTCCAAAGGGGCAATGCTACAAACCATGCCCCATTTCACAGAAGACATGGTCTGATGCCAAGGTTGGTTAAAAGCTTGAAACTGGGAAAATGTTTCCTGTTTTTTTTTAAAAAAAAAATCTTGCGAGGATGTTTCACTTGCTGGCACAGGTCAAAGGGAGGAAGTTAAAGTCAATCAGTCAGAATAGAGCTGGAAAGGACCTTGGATGTCTTCTAGTCCAACCCCGTGCTCAAGTAGGAGACCCTATACAATCTGAGACAAGTGTCTGTCCAATCACCTCCAGTGATGGAAGCACCCACAACTTCTGAAGGCAACTTCTGTTCCACTGGTTAATTGTCCTCACTGTTAGGAAGTTTCTCCTTAATTCCAGGTTGCTTCTTTCCTTGATTAGTTTCCATCCATTGTTTCTTGTCCTGTCTTCTGGTGCTTTTGGAAAATAGGTTGACCCCCCTCTAATTTGTGGCTGGCCCCCAAATATTATAATGCTGCTATCATGTCACCCCTAGTCCTTCTTTTCTCTAGATTAGCCATACCCAGTTCCTGCAACCCTTCTTCATATGTTTTAGTCTCCAGGCCTTTGATTGTCTTAGTTGCTCTTCTCTGAACTTTTTCCAAAGTCTCAACATCTTTTTTGTAATGTGACCAAAACTGGATGCAGTATTCCTGGGGTGGTCTTACTAAGGTTTTATAGAGTTTGTTCTGTAAATAGGTTTGCTTGGCGGGAAGTTTGAATTAACTGACCATCAGCTGATTGGCTGACCACCACAGCTGCAAGGTATATAAAGGGAGCTGGCTCCCTGGGTCAGTTGCTGGGTTCTCACCATATAATAAAGAGCTGTTGTCACTCACTACTCTGGCTTGCTGCGTCCTCATTCACCCAACTTAACATTGGCGACGAAGGTGGGATTTTGAGGCCAGAAGCTAAGAGGAGAGCTGAGGCCACACTCGAGAGAAAAGAGCTGAGGCCACGTTCAGAGAGAGAGCCGGAGTCTGAATCCTGAATCCAGCCAGGCGAGCGAGCGGAACCCAGGAGAATCCCGAAACAATGTCTGCCTAAACCCCGCCAGCACCTTTCAACCCCAAGGAGGAGAAGTGGGGATCCTACATGTCCCAGTTCGAGTGTTTCATGGTGGCAAACGACCTGCAAGGGCTACCGGATGTTCGGAAGAAGGCCCTGTTCCTGAGCCACTGCGGACCATGGGTATTCGACACAGCCGAAGCCTTGTCGGAGCCAAATTCAGTCCACAACGTTTCCTGGTCAATGCTGCAGACCCTGCTGAAAGACCACTATGCCCCAACGCCATCGAAGTACGTCCAGCGGTACAAGTTCCGGCAGAGGCTACAGCAGGCCGGCTACAAAGAAGACTACTCGCGAGGTCAAACCTGACCCTACACATCGCCCTGGACGAGGCAAGAGCCCAAGAGTCGTCCGTAAAAGCCGCCGAGAAACTGCAAGGCTCCCACCTCGGCCGGACAGCGCAGAGGACGGCGACCGTGCACCGAGAAGCCGTAAACACCGAGAGCGAGGGGGAGTCCGAAGAGGAAGTCTACCGCACCGAACAGTCCCGGACAGCCCAGAGGGAACCCAGAGACGGGTGTGCCAGCTGCGGAGGGCCCCATCCCCAGCAGAACTGTAAGTTCAGGGACGCAATCTGCCGTTCCTGCGAGAAAAGGGGCCACATCGCTCGGGTCTGCAAGTCCAAGCCACACCAAGACTACAAACCACGTGGCCAACCCGGCCAATCCGAGTCAGTGCCGCACCGGAGGCCCAACAAAGATGGCGGTAGCGGGAAGGGCGTGAAATTTGAAGATGCCGGGGCCTACACCATCCGCATCGAGCAGACCTGCACCTCTCCCGGAGAAAAGACCTACACCACGGTCGAGATCGAGGGACGGGAGTACCAGATGGAAATCGACACGGGATCTCCCATATCCATCATGTCGTGGGCCAACCTGAAGAAAGCCATCCCCAGCGTACATAAGCGACAACTCCAACCACAGCGACGCAGGCTGAAAGACTACTAGGGGAACCGCATCCCCGTCGAAGGAAGAGGCGAGTTCCAGGTGCAGTACGGGGAGTTGACCGAGAAACTGCCACTCACCATCGTCAGCGACAACCTCCCGAGCCTCCTGGGCATGGACTGGTTTCAAGCCCTGGGCATGGGATTTACCGGAGTAAGGAACGTTCGAGGCACCCTGAAAGACGACCTGATGCAGGAGTTCCAGGACGTGTTCGACGAACGGCTTGGCAAGTATGTGGGGACCCCTATTTCATTCAATCTCAACCCCAATATTGCCCCCATTCGTTTAAAGCCTAGGCGGGTACCGTTCGCCCTGAAGCCTAAAATTGATGTCGAGTTAGATAAGTTAATCAAGCAAGGGGTGCTAGTTCCGGTCGACCATGCCAAATGGAGACCGCAATCATAACAACCAGTAAAACCGGATGGATCAGTGCGCATATGCGCTGATTATAAATGCACAATAAACAAGGCCCTGCAACAGAGCGCCTATCCGGTGCCCATCGTCCACCACCTACTGCATTCCCTGGGTCCCGGCAAGATCTTCGCAAGGCGTACCAGCAACTGCCAGTAGATGGCGCTACCGCGGAAGCACAGACTAGCGTAACCCACAGAGGGGCCTTCAAGTGCACCCACCTGCAGTTTGGAGTTAGCATAGCCCCCGGACCTTTTCAAAGTACCATGGAGTGGTTACTACAGGGGATCCCTGGGTTGGTTCCCTATTTCAACGACGTGCTCATCACCGCCGAAGACGAGCAACAGCTAGGGGAAAGGCTTAGGAAGGTCCTAGGGAAATTCAGGGACGCGGGACTCAGAGTAAAAAGGAACAAATGCATGATCGCGGTCCCCTCAGTCGAATTCCTAGGATACAGGGTAGATGGCACCGGCATACACCCCACTGAGAGCAAGATCAGGGCAATCAAAGAAGCACCCACCCCCAAGGATAAAGCGGAACTACAGGCTTTCCTGGGACTATTAAATTTTTACGCCATCTTCTTAAAAGACAAGGCAACAGTGGCTGAACCCCTACATAGACTGTTAGCCAAAAAATCCACTTGGAAATGGGGAAAGGCCGAAGACAGGGCATTAAAAAACTGTTATCAACTGAGAGTTTCCTAATCCAGTACAACACAATGCTTCCCCTTGTTTTAGCTTGTGACACGTCTCCGTTCGGGGTGGGAGCCGTCCTGAGCCATAGACTCCCGAATGGCCTAGAGGCACCCATCGCTTACTACTCCCGAACTCTGTCAAGTGCCGAGAGGAATTACAGCCAGCTTGACAAGGAGGCCCTCGCCGCCGTTTCGGGAGTTAAAAAGTTCCACGAATACTTGTTCGGGAGAGACTTTGACCTGATCACCGACCATCAACCACTCCTGGGCCTCCTCGCGGGAGACCGACCAACACCGGCAGCCCTATCGCCCAGGATGACACGCTGGGCCATCTTCCTCGCAGCATACTCCTATCGCCTGGTACATCGACCAGGGGCGGACATGGGCAACGCGGACGCACTCAGCCGATGCCCACTACCCGACAACCTAGAGGACCGCACACCCGGCATCCCCATCTTTCTGATAGACGTATTGGACTCGGGACCCATGACATCAGCAGAGGTTGCGAGAGCCTCAGCCAAAGACCACGTGATCCGGACAGTCGCAAGTTGGGTCTTGAGGGGGTGGCCGGAAAAGACTGGGAGCGGGGAATTTAAATAGTTCGCGGGCAAACGGGACGAACTAACCATGCAAGGGGGGTGTTTGCTATGGGGCGACCGGGTTGTTATTCCCTTGTGCCTAAGGGAAAAAGTCTTAACACTGTTGCATGAGGGGCACCCTGGGATTGTACGCATGAAGGGGCTAGCCAGGAGCTACGTCTGGTGGCCCAGTATGGATGCAGACATTACCGAGTGGGTGGGGAGATGTCAACCCTGCCAAGAGTCTAGGTCAGATCCGCCAACAGCACCAGTGAGGGAGTGGGAAAGACCCCAGGGAACCTGGTCCAGGATCCACATTGATTTTGCTGGCCCGTTTCACGGGCAGACCTTCATGGTCGTTGTAGATGTGTTTTCCAAGTGGCTGGAGATTAAGCTAATGAAGGCCACTACCACCGACGCAACCATCAGGGAGCTCAAACAGTTATTCGCCACCCATGGATTACCCAGACATCCTACTGTCGGACAACGGGCCACAGTTCACCGCGACACAATTCGAGGGGTACTTAGCGGACCTAGGGATCAGACATGTCCTTTCGGCCCTGTTTCATCCGGCCAGTAATGGGCAGGCTGAGAGATTTGTGAGGTCAGCAAAGGAGGCCCTTTCACGGCTAGGCCCTGGGGACTGGCAGGAAAGGGTAGACAAATTCCTAACAGCACAGCACTCCACACCCTGTATAGCCACAGGCCGAAGGCCGGCGGAGCTATTAATGGGGCGGAAACTCCGAGAGGTACTAGATAGACTTAACCCCAACTACTCCCCAGAAGTCTTCAAATGGGGGGAGAGGAAGCTCAGAGAATTCGCCATAGGAACCCCGGTCCATGCCAGAAACTACGGGAGGGGCCCACTCTGGGAGGCAGGAACCATTACAGAAATCACGGGGCCCAAATCATACAGGGTAGACATGGGGGACGGGAGAGTTTGGCGCAGGCACATTGATCAACTGAGGAAACGAATAGCCACAGACACCGAGGGCAGATTCGATGAGCCGATCCCTGACTACCAACCAGAAACACAAACTACATCAAGCCCGGGCAGAGCAGAGGACTTAGCTGAGGAGTCTGG